TATCTTCACTGCTTTTATTTATTTATAAAAAACAATAAAGGTGATATAAAAACAAACAAACAAACTTAGATTGGTAGGTAGTCATATACTATAGATGAAAAATGTTATAAATAACATTGCAAAAAAAGTTCAATTTTTGTCAGATGATTTCAAATGATTAAAGTAATCTTTGCTTTACTGGGAAGCAAATTGCTTAATTTAAGAGTTAAGCTCTTTATTCAGAAAATGACATATTTTAAATGACATAATATTTTAAAATATATCTGTTAGATAAAGTCTAGCTTAGTTATATATCACCATGTATACTTTCCCTTCTGGGCCAGTATGGACATTTTTAGACATGGCTTTAGTTTGGGGTGGAAACTGAACTGGTCTTTTCCCTTCCATATCCAATCAGTTATCCCTTGAGAGGATTTAAAACCTAGCCTGAAATATTCATAGAATACAGTTTTTTGCAATTATTAAACCATGCTTTTTTCCTCTCCATCTGTGGTACCACAGATATGGTATCACAGGACAGAGTTTCAGAGAATTCTAACCTCCTATATATTTTGTTGTCTTTGTAAAAGTATTAAATACACAATGGTACTATTTAAGACTTACTCTGGAACACACATCTGCTTTAAGAGGATATACACAATATATTCTAGATGTAGCATAAAACGTAAAATATGCAGACACATTTATTTCCCATCTGTGGCATAAATCATGACATTCTGCTTCAGACGGTAGGAAAGTGGAATAATTTCTACTCACTGAGTTTACCAAACATTATGCCTGTAAGGAAAATGAAAGAGGAGATGTTGGCTTTTACAACAGTGCTGGGACTTGCCCTGTCCCCAAAAAACTGTTGTCTAGACCTTCATATTCCAAATGCACAACATTCATGGACAGACAGATTTTGACATATGCTGGAGGGTGGAAAATGATATTTATATTCTGCTCCTTCTTGCCTTTTTTTGTTCTGTTCTTCAGTATTTATAGAGGCTCTAATGTCCTTTTTGATTTATGGTTAAGCCATGAAAAATGCAAACAAACTTGTAATTCTCAATACTTAATTTGCTTCAGTAATTGTTGAAAATTAAGGTAATTTGTGACCAGTTGATTGGTAATAATACTTACATTTGTGATCAGTTGATTGGCAATAATACTAATACTTATATTTTTACTATATTGACAATGGGATAAGAAACAAGCTGTCAAAAACATTTTATTAAAAAGATTGAATTAGAATCCACATTGTCTACTGATTAAGTTTGGGTTGCTTGAAGAATTTATGATTTATAAAGCCTCTTTAATGAGTATCTTGGTAACCCATAGTAGGAATATACTTATAGTGGACATATTGGGACAGTTGCTTGTAGTAAGAGTATTTTTTTTTAATGAAATAATGAATGCCAGTGCTTGTATACTAAGCAGTTGTCTTGCATCCCTCTTTCTTAGTATATTTTCTGCCTTCAGGAACAGATAAGGGTAATAATACATTTCCAACACTGAAAATTTGTGGTCAACCCAAACTTCTTTCGTAAGAATAGCATTTTGTGCTACTCTTAAGGAAATAAAAATAATATAAGCTGAAGAATGCTCTAAAATTAATTACATGGCACGTGTGGGAGCAAAGAAGATGATAGACAGAGTCAGTGAAAACATGCCTGGGCAACAGAGAGATACAAAATCATCCTATGCTGACATTTTGTGGTCATTTTGTGGAATTTTGCAACCCAGATATAAAAAAAATCCATCATGAGAGGCAACCAGGGAAAATATTTAAGGATAGTAGAAAATCTTTGTATGGTTAAGATTAGTTGAGCAGACCTAGTAAAGTGCTGTGTTGAACTATAAGAATATAGAAATGGAAGGGAGAGAGCCTTGAATATATGGAAGGTGAGTCTGTGTTAGTAGAGGACAGAAAAGCTATTTTAGAGATATAGAACAGAGAATCAACATTAATAGGAAACTTCTACCTTCAAAAAACAGCAACCAAGAAGTGATACTATTAGTTATGGAAGCAGAGGAGAAAATAATTGAATCCTGCCTCTTGAAAATTACAAGTTCTTAATGGCTGATATTTACATTTAAATGCTTTAGATTTCTGCATGTTAGTTGCTAATGGTTGTTTCAAGTCTCTACTAAGAAAAAAAGTTATTAAAAGTACATTCTGGTTATGTGCTGCTTTTAACTATCATGATTTGTATTGTCAACACTTTTATTTTCTTGAAAATTTAATTATCCAGACTATATTATTATCATAGTCACTGCAATAAATTAATACAAATCAAGGATGCATGTTACATGTAAAAAATAATTTTTGTATCTGGAGCTAAAGGCAGATTATAGAAAGTATAATAAAGTGAAAAATAATTCTACAAACAAAAGATAATATCTTCCTGCAGAAACAGTGGATATATTATTATATTGGGATAAATTAAACCAGCTGAAAGGCAGTTTTCATGACTAATCTACTATCAAAGCAAAAAGACAAATCAAAGAAACTGTAGATGAGATGTTTGAATTTCAGAATGAAGAAATTAATTTATGATCAGGTTAACTATTATTATTTATTCTAAATCACCAGACATCTTATATGTTAGGATATTTAAAAAAAACAACCTTTCTTTAACTGATTTACTGATTGGTAGCAAAATCCTAAATGTTTTATGCAATAATAAAAGCTGATACAGTTTTTATCTTTATGGCATTCTCAAGTTGTTATGGGTATTTTGGGTCCTATAGGCTCAATATAATTGTAAACAATAGGCTGCAGGAAGCAAAGAACCATTGTCAAAATAATCCTTTTCTCCTCCCTCCTCCTCCCTCCCTCCCTCCCTCCCTCCCTCCCTCCCTGTGGATAAACTTTTCTGTCATTTTAAAACTAAATTAATAGGTTTCTAAGTTTCTTATTTTCTAAGTTTCTTATTTACTTGAAAACATTCTAAAAATATCATAGGCAAAGCAAAGTTTTTTTAAAAAAAAGAATGAAGAAATGAATGGACAGTGAGGTAAAAGACTTACTTATACATTATTTTGGCAGAAAATTCCAGTGGTTGTTTCTTACTGAACACAATGACCCAAGAAAAATAGAAAACAAGAACATGTCAGTGGCTTGCCCAGTGGGTTCTTTAAAAAAGTATCTTCAAGAACTTGGCAAATGTGCTTGAAACAATATTTTTGTTTGTGAAGTTGATGAATCTTAAGTTACAAACTCATTATCCAAGATAATAGTCATACTACATCTCTTATATTTATCTTTATACTAGATTTTCTTTTCTCAGTTTATACTATTGTTTTTGCATATTTTGTTTGCATTACCTTGTATAAATTATCTTGGATTTAAAAATAATCTAGGATAAACTTGAGTTATTGCACATCATTTTGCAGTGATGTATCCAATTAGATCTGGGATGGACAAATTGTACCCCAAGGGTACAGTTCAAATTGTGATTAAATTGCTTTTCAACTAATCAGTTGAGAGCTCTTTCCTACTGGTGGGGAGGAAGGGAGAGATGGATAGAGATCAGAAAATATGCATCCAAAAACCATTAGAGAATGGGTTTGATCCTACCCATTGCTTAATTACATCTAACCCAAAATTAATACATAGATTCCGTGTGCGTATGTGCATGCGTGCAGGGTTGAACAATAAATGAATAAACAAGTTGAGAATCAATTTAATTTAAATTAACCAATTGAGTTCAGTGCAGATTCAAATATTTGGTTGTATAATAAAGTTTTAGATTAGTAATTTTTTTTAATTTTTTTTTACTTAAATATTTATTTTCTTTAATAAGAAACAAAACAATAATAAAGTATAAATAAAAAAACAAAATATAAGAAAAAGGAAAGGGGAAACTCCCAGAATATACTTATAGAAAATACCTCACATTTTAAATATAGTATTAAATATTAACCACACAAGTAATATTTTTCAGTTCTTCCATTATACTGAAGATAACAGCTGATGAGTAAGTAAGCTGAGTTGAAGGATGCAGGCTGGAAGGTTTTCAAGAGCCTGAGTGGATATGATGCACACTGGGAGATAAAAGATGGTAGAATACATAGTAGAATTCATGATGCTTGGAAGATTGATTGGATGAGTAAACATTCTTTTGAATATACCTTCTCCCACGCAGGTTCTTGCCTCAATCAGTACTTGCCTGTGGATAGAACAGTTTGAAAAAAAGATCCTTCAGTAGTCTTATGATGACTTTTATACAGCTGTCTTATAATTAGCCTCTGGAAAGGGACAGAACAATAGAAAGGATTTTTAGTTTTAATTGAGATTTCTTTCATCCAAATAGTTCATTGAATCCAGATTTTCTTATAATTCAATATTACATTGATGCAACATTTTTACATTCAATTGTTTTCCCCAAAAACAAAATGAGGTAATAGTGGAGAATCCTATATAATAGGTATACATGTTCTCTAGGGGTGAGTTCCGGCAGCCATTCTGCCAGTTTGCTCATGGGCACGCAGCGCATGGGCGTGCAAGCACAGTGCAATAAAAATTGTTATGTGCATGCGCAAAGCCAAAAACAAGATAGTGCTGCCTATGGCACTGCCAGGAGAACCAGTTTGAGGGTGTGGCAGGTCTGGGTCACTGCTGGTTCCAGCGACCCAGGCCACCAAACCCCTACAGGTTCAGCTGAACTGGTCGGTAGTTGGTAGGAACCTACCATGATGTTCTCCCCTCATTTAAAGTGTGGGCCACACATTTGTTTCTAACAAGCACACATAACACAGTTACGTGGACTTCTCAGTTTTGTTCATCATATATTGTCAGGATTAAAGCTTAAAACTGGTGTTTATACAAGTTTGTATAACATAATTTATATTCTGAGTTTATGAAACTTATAACATAGCTAGAGGTTTGAAAGAAAAACTCTGGAGATTTATAGAATGAATGTATGAATGTTTGTCCCCTTATCCCAATAATATAGAGAAACCCTGGGCTGTAATCTACCTTGATTTTGGTATGCATGCACATAATATTTATCATTTTTAGGTTCTTTACAAGAAAAGATATAATGCTGAGAAAGGAATATCAAATTATGCACAGATGAAGAATCTTCCAGATGTTAAGCATGCCATGGAAGTTAGTAAACATCAGAGTAATGTGAGTATTTTCTCAGCTTAAATAATTAGGTTCTTGTGTGTATTTTAAATGAAATATTATAGCATTTGACATGTTGATGAGTAATTAATTGTCTTTTGTGTGATTTAGCAGTGTCTTTACATTAGTAAAACACATGGATGACTTAAACACAAACTAATAATTAACAAATTGTACACAGATGTTGAAGACTGAATGAAAAATACATTCAAGATAATGTTTACTTTATCTGAAATATTTACAGCCATTTATTTGGTTGGAGTTCTTGTACCAGTTTTATGTACCAATAAAGCTACCAGATTTATAATCTGCAAAGTTATGTGTGAGTGAGTGAGAGTGAGAAAGAGAGAGAGGGAGGTACGGAGGGAGGGAGGTACAGAGGGAGGGAGGGAGGGAGGGAGAAAGAAAGAAAGAAAGATAAGTAAGACATCTTTTTTTATCCAGCTATAGGCGAGTGGCTTCTTCTGAGAACCATAGAATTGGAACTGGCTAGAGAAATCCCTCTCTGTCCTCACTGTCAAACGTTTTTACTCTTAGCATGTTTTCTTACTATTGTGCCGCACATGCACATGCGCCCCCATGTGTGCCTCATCCCCACACATGTGTGTGCAACCTTCCAAGAGCCCCCCACTCTACGCAGACCATGCATGCATCCTGCATAAGCCCCACCCCCTGTGCATGTGCACGCAGCCATTGTGCATGCACACGTGGACACCGCATGTGTGCCTAGGCCCCAAGTATGCGTGCATCTCCCACATGTGAAGAGCACGCTCACAGGGCAGGGACCCAAAAACCAGCTGGCCAGGGGGGAAGCATGTGCTCATACATGGTGGAGCTGAGCTGAGGCAATGGCTGACGTGTCTGCAGAGAAGGCTCTGCATGCCACCTGTGGCCTGCATGCCATAGGTTCGCCATCATGGCTTTAGGTGTTTGCTATTACCTTGTGTTATCTGCAATTTTGATAATCAAATCAAAAGAAAGAAAAAAGTGTGTTTGCTACCCTTTTAGTACTGCTCCAGGGGTGGATTTCAACCGGTTCGCGGCGGTCCCTGCAAACCGGTTGGTCGCCAAACCCGGAAGTAAGTAACTTCCGGGAACGGCGAAGGGCGCGCCCGCCCATGGTCCTTACCCGGTTTTGACGAGTTCTGCGCTTCCACGCATGCGCAGGACGCATACAGTGCCTGCGCAATCATACAGGAGCAGCTGGAGCATCGCGCATAGGATAGTACGCATGCGTGCACCGCACGCGTGCATGAGGACGCCGCCGGCTCCGTTCCAACCGAACCGGTTGGAACGGGGTGAGAAACCCACCCCTGTACTGCTCCCACATGGGGAAAAAGCTTTTCATCATGAGCAGTGGGAGAAATGTTTGTTTGGTTGTCAATTTATTTATGTCACCCCACCATTATTACTTTTACAAATAACTCAAGGCAGCAAACAGCATACCTTCCTTTTTCCTTTTTCCCCACATCAACAAACCTATGAGGTAATTTGGGCTGAGAGAGAGTGGCTGACCCAAGGTCACCCAGCTGGCTTTCATGGTTAAGGTAGGACTAGAATTCACAATCTCCTGCTTTCTTGCTTGGTGCCTTAACCACAAGACTGAGGATGTCAAACTCGTGGCTCATGGGCCAGAGGTGTCATGCCTTGGCCACACCCACACCTAGTTTAGCGAAAGGGGGAAAAGTAATGATATGTCACGTAATCATGTCATGATGCCATGAGTTTGCTGCCCCTGCACTAGATGAAATATATTTAGCCTAGGCTAGTAATACAATAAATGTATTCCTTTGTAAGAAATCTGGCAGAGGAATGAAAAGATTTGAAATTGTAATTTCCTTTCATTTTCACCTTTATTGCATAATCAAAAGATTCACAGAAAACCATCCTGTGCAGAAATAAAATACTGAGTACACAGTGTCCATACCTGTGCATTCAATACTTATAAAGGAGACATAGATATGACAATGATGCTGAACAGTTATGGAAGAATTATACAAAGCATTTACAGTACATGTTGAGTTTTTAGAATATATTAATGTATAAATAGACTTAAGTCTTTTACTCAATGGTATGGGAGAACCATCCCTTTATCACATGTATATATCATTGCTGTGTCATTACTTGTTATATCATCATTTTGAGTGGGTCAGAGAATTAATAGCAATATGAAATATATTACAGATTCAAAGGTCAGAAGAAACAGCATATCTTGCCAATGGTACAATTTGACTTTTTACTATCCCATTTCACTAGCTCCTTCTTTTGCCTCATTTGTTATTCATTAATAGTTTTAATAATTAAATATTCACAAATTATAACGGATTGCATTTAATTTTTTAGAAAGTAACCCAGTTGTTAGATAAAATGGGTGCTAAACAGAAAATTCAATTTGTATCTTGGGCAACCTCTCCTATTATACAGTGTTAATATGCTAAGTTAGGCAGGGGAAAGGAAATTTTTGAAGAAGAAAAGTAAATTTCTTCCAAAATAGAGTTCTGCCTTTTGATTCTCATCTTCTCTTCTTTAAAATATAAGATCTCCATTCAGCCAGGCTTCAGTTAAGACAGCCACTCATACAGTGTCAAGTTACTTTTTAGATGGTTTTTTAAAAAATGAATTCGGTTTTAATGTTTGAATGTGTATTGCAGTGGTGGGTTGCTAACCAGTTTACTACTAGTTCGTTTGTGTTCCCGCACATACAATGCTTTTGCACAGAAGCATCTGGGCGGGTGGGTAGAGCCTTCGGCCACCACCACTACCAGTTCAGCTGAACCAGGCCGAACCGAGAGCAACCCACCCCAGGCATATTGTCTATTGGAGGTTTTAATCAGTGATCATTTTATTGAATTTTGACTGACAGTTGGTTCATTTTGTACATTGCTCTTCCTCTTTGAGAAGAATAAGTATTCACCACTATCATTGTATCTAGGCAATATTTGAAGAAAATGTCTCTCTGAAGCCTGGAGAAGAGTCGATACAGAAATAGGTGATTACTGTAGACTTCATACAACAGGTTCTATGGAAACAAGTGATTACTATAGACCTCATACATCAGATTCTATGGAAACAAGTGATTACTATAGATTTCATACAACAGGTTCTATGGCTCATATTATCACATGATCAGAAACAAGCACATCTGTACAACATTTTAGAACTGAACCACAATGTGCTGTTTTGAAAGATCACTTTATTATGGCCCTTTGATTTGAAAGGAGAACCATGAAAATAAAGTGAATATACACCGAAATGAAAATAAAAGCTGGAAATGTGTGCTATTAACATTTATCAAGACTAACAACATGGAATTTAAAACACTGAGCATCTGGTTGGATATGCAAATAAACATTTGGAATTAAAAATGTTTCTTCTAACTCCGTTGAAAATATTACATAAATGGAATTCAATATTATGACTTATAACAATTGATGGAATTGGCAGTCTTAACCCATCAGTGATATTTTTATGTCATTTGCATTGGCAAATAGAACATGCAAGATGAAATGTACACTCCAGAATCAGCTAGTAAATCTTTCAAAATCTGTGACATCAATAAAATAAATGAGTGTCATATTCAAATATATTTTAACTACACTACAATCTACTATTTCAATTTTCCAATCTCTTTTCTTCAAACTGATGATATATTAGATAATTTTTTAAAGATTTTTAACCCATTTTTATTGCTTTATAAGCAATATATTGTGGATCGATCCAAAGCAAAGAATAGACAGAGCACTTCTTTCTCCTCCTATTTTCCCCATAACAACAGTTCTTTGAAGTGGGTTGGACTGAAAAAAAGTGATTGGTCCAAAGTTAGGTTTCATGTCCAAGGTAAGACTAGAACTCATGGTCTCCTTCCATGTCCCTGGAAGATGGCTGCTGAGTCTTTCGCTCCAGCTCGACTCCTCCGAAAAATGGCTTAAATGAAAGATATATCTGCCCAGGAGCTCGGCNAAATAAATTCTAAATTCTAAAAAAGTGGTGGGAGCACAGGGGGGGTTGTGTGTGGGTGTGCCCACACCCATAATGCTATGTGTGTGACTCCCTGTGTGCATGAGACCCCCCCATGCATGCAGGTGCAACCCCCCCGCCCTTTTGGTGTGTAATTTCATCATCCTCAGGCTCCAGAGGCTTTCTAAGAGCCTGGGGAGGGTGAAAAACAGCCTCCCCTGCTCCCCCACAGGCCCTCAGGTTTCAGGCTTCCCTGAAACCTCTGGAACGCAAAAACTGGTCCTACGGGTAAACTGGAAGTTCAGGAACAGACTTCCGGTTTGCCTGTAGGGCTGTTTTTCACCCTCCAGAGGCTTCAGGAGGCTTCCTTAAAGCCTCCGGAAGGCAAAAAACGGCCCTACTGACTTCCAGAGAATTACTTACCAGACAATTAGGCCATGGAACCAGAATTGCTGATGGTGATTCTGAAGCTGCATTACCTTCACACCGAATGGATGGATCAGTGCATGTATTTTTAGAGCCTAGTTTTAGTCATGCCATGAATTGCAACTCATAGCAAGCAATGAAAATGCACAACATGATATTAACAAAGAGTATGAGTTGATTGCTTAACAAGATACATTTCTTTTATTTCTTGGCAGTTTCTTCCATACAATATGCAAACATTTTTGTACCATGTTTTAAGTGAATAAGAAGATGGCACTTTTCACAGTGGGCCAAAATATTTAGTAACAGCATGTTGTTGTTCTGACTGAACCTTGTGATATTTACTGAGTGACTGGAAAAGTCATATTATTTGTCAATCTTTATTTTGTTCCATGTTCTCCGTGTTTTCAATGAGGTATAGCAAAGTACAAACTATGGAAGATATTTTAAAAAATATGTCTGTCTCCAATATACTGTAAATATATCTTCACTCATGTGCCGGAAGACTAATAATTCACAGGTAGAATATTGAACTAGCTTGTGTATTAAAGCTGATGAAATAACAATTGTATGAATTTTCCACCCTCTTGTCTCTATGAAATTGACCACACTACCTTATT